TTTTTATTCGTTGACCTTCGTCTACTACTATGTATCTCCACTTCTGACTTTGCAGAAATCGGATTTCCATCAGTGGTACTTCATATGTTGTTAGGACGATTGGCTGTGTGTAATAAGAGTTGTCAACACGCATTTTTTGACGAATTTTTTTCTGCGCGGCAAGTCGCTCCGTTGAGTCGCCGTGAAATAGGACGACTGATAGTTTTGGAGCGAACTTTTCAAATTCCATCAGCCAGTTGGGTATAGTCGAAAGCGGAGCAACTATTAAGTAGGGACCGTTTTGACGTTTCTCAATTAGATGACTAAACAATGCAATAACTTGTACTGTTTTTCCAAGACCCATCTCATCTGCTAAAATTCCATTGACTCCATTTTCATAAAGTACTTTGAGCCATTGCAAACCCTCTATCTGATAATTACGCAGGACACCATTGAAATACTTTGGTACAGCAAAACTGGCCACATCTGGAGTTTCAGATTGTGACTTTACATTATGCATTTCGTTTTCAGAGATTGACATTAATTCTTCTGTAATGTCATTGGTATTCAGACTCTTTTTACTTTTATCAGTAGCTTTTTTCTTTTTTATCTATAATGAAACACACTCTTTATCAGATATACAATATTTAAGATCACATTTTTAAACAATATGAATATAAACAAAGATAAAGATGTAAGCATGAATATCACTTACATCGTTAATTATATGTTTCTCTATATCATATTTCTGAGAATTCTTTTTCACTGTTTTTGATTTTTTTTGTGGTGCAGTATTCTCATCAGGTACCGTTGGTAGATGTTTCTTTCCTTTTTTGGAGGTCACAAATGGCTGAGACTCATCAAATTTCTTAATTAAATAATTTGAATAAAACTGACTACGATCTAATAAATGCATTAAGCATTTGTATCGTTGCTCGGTTAGTCCATCTTCATATTCCTTCTCACCAATGCGCTTATTTTCAAGTTCAAGCTGGTCAACAACTTTTTGTCTTTTCTTCTTTTGTTTCTGTTCTGCCATCGGTATACTCTTGAACTTAACATTGCTTGAAACTGTGTTTATTGATTCATCCTTGACCGAACCTTCTATTAATTTCAAAATTACGTGTCATATATTATTTTAACGAAGAATATTAAACTTTTTAAACAAAATAAAGTTGTACAACATTGACCATAACAATATAAAATAAGTGTACAAGGACCATCATAAATAGAGATTATACCATTAAAAAGTCAATCTAAATATTACTCAGTCATTTTATTCCTACTCGAAAAATTCGTTTGACCTTTAGGAAACTGCTTCTCATTTAAATAAAGTGAATTCCATCATACCTGCAAATGAACCGGCAGTACTTCCAAAACCCGAATCTTCTACAATGTCTAGAGCCTCAGGACTATCGATAGTATTGCTAGACTCTTTCGATAATGGAACTTCTTTTTGCCGATGCATTGTAATAAATAAATGCAGCAATTCGTAATTCTCACTAAGAACAAGTCGCACCACGCTGCCACAGGCGATCCTGAATAACTGTGAATAACCGACAGTTGCCGACAGTTAGTTTTCTGATTCCCGCCAAATTCAGTTCCAATAACATTTGAACATGGCAAATTCCGTAATCTTAGAATCCCTCTAGGGGGACTCTACGTAATCTTTGCTGATGGCGCCTACGTAGCTTTGTCGGATCTGGCACATGTCCCCCATTGGGGATACAGCCATAAGGAAAGGAAGGAAGGAAGCTGTGTCGGATGATTTCTACAACTGGAATATCAACCTCCTTGTTGGCCAAATCTTTCCTAACAAACGATTTTGACCAATGAGAAGTCCAGTTTCCCGAATTCTTCTGATAGTGCAAGTAGTCATAGCATATGCACCAATGACATATATTAATTAAAAGGAATTGACCAGTGACGCTGAGCTGCCTCGTTGTAAGTATTGCTTTGGGAACAACCGGGTTGTAGCGTAGAGCCTCTGCTCGCCAAGCGACACGTTCGTGATCGTGGTCAGCTTGGCTACGACGGGATGCGCATTATCGACGGAGGCGATGATCACAAAATTCTACTTATGAACTCGCCGTTGCGGTTCAGCGCAATGTTTTTGGAATCGTCTAAAACAATAGCGTTGTGCATCTCCTTACTTATCTCTGCTATGAATACGGAACTAGGCTTCTTCAACTATTCTCTTTTCATACGCTCTTCAGATCTCTTCGGATCTTAACCATTCATAGACTGTGGTAATCAGTGATAATGTGTCATGTTGTGTCAAGCATAGTTTTGTGCTTGCGTGAAAAAGCGTAGAGTTAATTATTTTTCCATGAGCTGATTATATTCTAGGTTTTCTTTATTTAAGATACATGTGAGAAATAATAAAGAATGAAAATGGCGAAGGACGAAAGCGACGATCTTTTACCAGACAAAGACGCAGCAAAAGGCTTTTACGCCAAGTATGAACCCAAAGAAATTCTGGGAAGGTTCGTAGGTGTTGATTTTCTTCTTTGACCCATCGTTTTCTTATTGTATATTCTCGAGTTTCTCTCATACATTGATGATAATTATCTCTTCCAAAAGGAAAATTGTGGTATTCAAAACAAATATTTCGAAATAACTTTATCTGTACGGAAATTCTAATTGTTCAGCTATCTAACCTGCAAATTATATAATTCAGAAAGCCATGTGTGTAACTTTTTTTTCCCATAGATGTTTCCTAGAAAAGTATAAATAATGATGCTTTCACGTATTACCGAATTAACAAAGTTTAATCAATACATGTCATCGTTTATTTTTAGTAGTTTTGTATAACCAATGTGTTTGTGCATATACCTATACCTGGCATTAATTTGTCTTTGGCTGACATTCAAGTCAAAAAACTTACTTCAATTATGTTTAATTGAATACGAAAATTATAATTTTAACGATATTTTTATAATTATGAGAAAAACATGAATAATTCAAAATTCTTATATTGATTAATACAAAGATTTATTTTTAAACAAAAATATTGTCATAACCTTAAACTTATCTGCACAGAGGAATCTCTTCGACCGTAAGAAGATGTATAGAGAAAGAAACAGGCATAGAATATGCTGCAAAAATAATAGATATAAGTAATGAACCTCATGACGGGACAGATGCTCACACAATGAAAGATGGTACGATGCAAGAAGTCCATATTCTTAGAAAGGTTGCTGGCCATCCTTTTATAAGTAAGACATTTGATATTTTCTCAGAAGGTTTCTTTGTTTAATCATAACATTCCTATTTTATCTTATGCAGTGTAAAGTTTAAAGTTTTAGTATAAATTCAGAATTATCTTGTATACATCATGCTATAGCATATTTTCTTCAGTTGCTATTAATTACCATATAACCTGGATTATGTCAGATATTTAAACAGTTTCTAACAGTCTGACCAAATTTAAATATTATTTTAGAGCAACGTTAATTTCTAAAAAATGATGTTCTTAATACTTTGCTGATCTATAGTGCATTGTTAATCATCATTTTAAATTGTAGTGTATGATCTTAAGAGTATTTCATTTTTGCAACATGTATTAATGATAGCATTTTTGTGCAGTTGAGTTACATGATGTCTTCGAGTCCAACACATTTATTTTTCTCATTTTTGAGCTCTGCAAAAATGGAGAACTTTTTGATTATCTGACGTCTGTTGTAACGCTTTCTGAGAAGAAAACTCGTTATATCATGCGGCAAGTCTTTGAGGGAGTACAGCATATTCATAGTCAAGATATAGTGCATCGCGACTTGAAACCAGAAAATATTCTACTTGATGACAGTTTGAATGTCAAAATTACGGACTTTGGATTCGCAAGAGTTTTAAATTCAGGAGATAAATTGTATGGTTAGTATTCTGTATATCTACAGGTATCATTACGCAAATATAATTAACAATGTCATCATGAATGTAGTCAAAGTTAAACGAATTAATACTCTAGGGCAGAAGAGTTATAGTTGTTGACACATCTAAGGTTCTTATAGATTGTGCAGATAACTGTCGTATATTAAATTTTATTATGCAGATTTGTGTGGCACTCCTGGATATCTTGCTCCGGAAGTTCTTAAGTGCAATATGTTTGAGAACGCAGAAGGTTATGGATATGAAGTCGACATGTGTGTAGACTACGAGGATATGTTTGCTCAGTACATCGAATTTACACTTTAATATAAATGATTTATGTCTTTTAAGATGGGCATGCGGCGTAATTATGTTCACTTTGCTAGTTGGATGCCCACCATTCTGGCATCGAAAACAAATGGTCATGTTGAGAAATATAATGGAAGGGAAATACTCGTTCACATCTCCTGAATGGGCTGACATAACAGGTAGATTTATATGATTAAATGATGTGCATATATATAAAATTCATTATTATTAATTTTATTACAGATGCCCCAAAGGATTTGATTAGAAAATTATTAGTTGTGGATCCAAAAAAGAGAATTTCCATTAAGGAGGCTTTGGAGCATTCATTCTTTCATACAGTGGTGAGTGTAATTGCTTTACCGTCTGTACATTGTTACATTATATCGCGATGATTATTCTTATCCTTACTTTATAGACGATGCCATATGAAAATGTATTTTCATAAGGCATGTCATGAAATGCACGTGCTGTGTCATACTTGTTTTGAACAATTGGCTTAATATCATTAACTTTGAGATGTAATTTTTTAAAAATCTTATTACTTAAAATTGATATGTCTTGGATGACGTAAAAAAACATATTAAGATAGTACAAAATTCCATGTAAACTCATAATATGAATAAAACTTTAAAAAAGATAATACAGTACTGATACAAGCACAAGCACAAGCACAAGCAAGTATATAAGTCACAATATGTTATTGCCGTTGCAGTTGTGGGATCAAGACATTGCGCCTCTAAAGCGCTCTTTATCTTCTAATTCACGACGTCTCAGTAGGATATCTCAGTTAGCCCTGGTAAATCATGATTATTTTTATTTTTTATGTTTTTTTGTGAGTTTATGAAATAATAAGTATTTTGTTGGTACTGTTAACCCGAGTAGAGTTAATTCTCTTATATTATCCTATTGTTAAAGAATCAAATGTATTTATGTGTGTTGATTGGTCCTAAATTCCATTCTTGAAAAATAATTGTCAGGACTAACTTGAAATTTAATAGGATTCGTCAGGTAAATTATTTCAATATGTATCATTGCACCACACTTCAGAGGTTATTGTTTGTACATTCGGAAGGAATATAATACAGTTTTATAAATCTAAGTAAAGGAGATTGTATTTTGCAAATATTATTGAACATGTGATCCTGCATCTACAATTTACATTGTGTACATTGTTCCAAAGCGGATCCGACTAACAAATTATTTGAATTTTCTATTCAGGAATTGAAAGCAAAATCCTTTAGCGCAAGGAAAAAGTTTCAATTGGCAATTATTTGCGTTCGTGCCGTTGTACGCATTAAAAGGCTACACGTCACACCTGAACCATTATCCACCCACATTGCTCGCACTGATCCTTACAGAATCAAACTTCTACGAAAGGTGTGTAAATCATTTTTCGTAATCATTAGTCTTTTATCTATGGATCTGACTTCTTTTACTAATATCTGGTGTTGTCTTAATTGTGTCTTACCAGGTGATTGACGGATGTGCCTTCCGCGTGTACGGACATTGGGTGAAGAAGGGCGAAGGGCAAAACCGTGCTGCCCTTTTCGAAAACACCCCAAAAACGGAGCTAAAGCATCTCTATGTCAGCAATTTGAGCAGATAGCCAATGCTCCCGTCCAGCAAAATTTAGTTCAATTCGTTATTTTTAAATGACCTGGTGATATCACTGTAATCATCCACCAACCATGACCTCCCTGCCTCCCTCAAATCCTTCCTCATTCCTTCTCACATCCATAAATTCAATAATTATGATTTACCATTATCCTATTTCATCATATGACTGTTAAGGTAATATGAGAACGAAATCAGTTTTTGAAACTCCAGCAACTGATGTTCTTGGAGTTCTACCTTGTGCTGTATGTTCTTGCGCCTTCGCCATTAATTCTTCCTAGTATATTAATGGAAACGAACTCGAAAAACTCCATGGAAATTAAGATGGTACGTTGGAAGTTGCGTATTCTGACGCAACAATGCGAAAAACGCAAGGTGTTCAGGGCGTACTTGAAGAAGATTTTTTAAATTCTTGGAATTTTTAATAATTATTAAGCCAGTTATTAAGAGAATCTTACAGTAATAATTATGTCATAAGAATATTATGAAAGTTTTAACTCTCTGCTAGCTGTCTAAATCTTTTGAAAGCGACTTTTAGATACATTTTTATGCTGTACCAAACTAATATCTCCCACGAATTATATGTATCTAGCAAAAACATACTTTCAAGTTCTAGCTTGATGTAAACAGGATTTCTGATTGGTACCTGTCGTTTATTGTCAAATTTTTAAAAAATATTTGTTCTATAGTTTTCGATTGTTTAGACTAAGTGCTATTCGCCTGGAATACACCAAACGGTGGACTAAAAAATTTTACCTAATTAAAATTTGTTTTCATATAATCAATGTCACAAAATTTTGACTTATCACAGGAGGTGAAATTCAGTCAAAGTATCCTTGGGCTAGTTTGAAAATTTTGGAAACGGTCACGTGTTACTCATGACAGTAGTAAAGAATGCGAAAAGTGTTGAGCAGTCATTAATCATCAGTTCTCTCATAATTGTTAATCTCGCGAGGTAGCAGTATAAGTAAATTCTAGTCAAATTGTAATTCCATCATTTTTGCCCTTAAATTTTATAGCTAAAGCTGTGAACGGAGGGCAGTCACAGCAAGAAATAGCTGTACGTTAAAAAGTTACGTAATCGCGGACGAATTAAAATAATTGGATTGACTATTAAAACATCACGAAAATAGAAGTGTTGTAAGTGCCCATGCAAAACCGATCGTAGTGCGATAGAATTGAAATTTGAGTTCATCTACCCGTTATTCTGAGCAATCAGTTGATAGGGAGGGAACAAAATAAAATTAATTCTTGTTATTCAGAAAGGTAGACGTCAGACTTTGAAAATTGTATCTTTGCTGTCGTATTTTAAATAGTCTTGCATGGGTATCTGTCACAATACAAGAAACGGTCGTCCTATTATGCATGTATAATACCCGTTTCTAACGAAACGTTTCATTATAGATTTAGCAATCCATGTTTGAGATTATTTGTTTCGCAAAAGTGCATTAAGTAGATAGCAACTATAAATTTGCAAAAATATTTATTTATATAGAACTTGTTGAAGCGTGATGCTTCGTTTGAGAGCTGGCCCTCTATACTAGTGTAAATTAAATATTAGACATTTCATTGTGTGTTCATAGTTCATATATTTTTAGACTTAAAATTTCTCCGATATATATGTCAACAATGTCGCAACATCGCAATTCGATCGTAATTGCTTTGTGGTAATACACCTGTGGTTAAAAATGCAGCAGTAACATGTACAATTATTTTTTTTCAGCTTAAACATATACTTTATTGTCTACCCCTCTCTTCCCGTAGTTGATTCAAGTTGCATGGAGTTCGTTCAATCAAGTTCTTCTATAAAAAGATGACACAAGTAACACTGAATTCACTTGCAATAAGGATCCAATTGACATCTTCTCGCGCTCGTGTACAATATGCTGCGTCTGACACGAAATAGATGTATATTTCGTGGATTGGTTGATTGTACATGGCAGATTTTACTCTGACATTAGGAAAAATCTTGTAAAATATTCCGTTGCCTTTAATTGCAATGAATTGGTTACTGAATTAGGGAATTCGCGCTTGAATGAAGATCAGTATAATAACGGTAGTCACATTTGTATGGAGGTATGAAGAAAAATTGTAGTGAAAAAGAGATCCGTGCTGTGGGATTTATGACTCAGAATGTTTACAAAATTGTTGCGAAACGTAGGACTAGCTAGTATCGACAAGCGAGTCTTTCAAAAATCGAAGAGCCACGCCCCTTGCACAGTGATGAATACGTATTGGGGAGAAAAAAAGTAATGCAAAATTCGAAGGTCGCTCCATCTACGAACATAAAATGCATAAGGAAGTCATGGAAGTATTTTAAAGGGCGGCAACAGCAGGGTGCTAAATTGGATAACTGAGCGAGTAGAAGTCGAATGGTAAACAACGGTGCCAGTGTATACGGTACTATGGAGGATGGCGCATATATGAAAGTAAACTACGGAAGTGTCGGAGCATTTGCAGGGGAATATTGGTGAAGATTCTGATGAGTGAAGTGGAATGGCGGGAACTGGCTGGATAACGGCTCAAGAGGTACAGTATAATGAAGTGGAATTCGACTGAGCGGAGTCTGATCAAGTTTTGTAAAGTTGAGGGAAGTCGGAAGGATTCGTGATAGGGTGAGATCCGAGATCGTGTGATATCATAGGTGCCGTGCAAGTGTGGTATGTAGTCAGTCGACATTGGAGTGAGCGAGCAACGAAGAGAGAGAGCGAGTTTGGTGATGGTGATGGTGTGGGTGGTGGCGGTGGAGGTGGGGAAGAGGGCGCAAGACGCAAGAGACTAGAAGTGGCAACAGCGCAGCGTTCGGATCCATGTGACAGAGAAAGAACGTGACAAAAGCTGGCAGAGGGTGACGCCGCCGAGATCGAGTGAGTGTTTGCCCGGGCGAGCCGGGTGTCGGGTGCGTTTTGTCGGATTTCACGGGAAATTCGTGGGTCGTGGCGTGGAGCGGAAGGTAAGGGTGGCTAATGGGGTGATCGGGTAGCCCCGCGATATCCGGACGTTGGGTTTGTCGCGCTGATACACTCAAAAATCTATGAAAATCGCGTAAAAGTGGCGTGCGCTTGTAAGCGGTGCGATATACAGCAACACGACACTTCTCTCACGCCCAGCGGGCTGCTGCGTCACATGGGCCGCGTTCATTGGTCGATAGAGCCGTGTGACGTCAGGAACAGTGCTGCGATTGGTCGATAACGTGGACCCCAGACACGTGAATCGTGGCCAAGCAAGCATGGCTGTTGATGCGCAGTGGTTAGCACTTGTAAAATGTTTCTGCCACGCGCCAGATCGATCAGGTTATAACCGTCGTGTGGTTTAAACCGTTCGGAAAGCGATCGGCAAGCGTGGATATATGCGTGCATCACGATTCCTCGCGTGTGTCGTGATCCTGACAGCCGGACCATCGCGATTTATCCCCATTTGGGATTGATTTCTCTCGTGAAAGTGGCTTTCAGTGTGTTTCCATTGTGATCGGGCTCCGACCACGGTGTAACTGTAAGTTTTCGTACGTTTCTTCAACGTGTCCAAGGCTACCACGCCCGTTCGTTAGACTCTCATGGCCTATTATCTCGCCCGGACTATCGCCTATTTAATTAACGTCTGTATAGGTGGTTGCGTGGCGTGTTTTCTGTGCCATAATAGAACCAACCAATCACGTACCGTATGCGCACGTGACGTCACGGCGTCGCTTAATCCCATTGGCTGCCAGAGCGTGCGTCGCCACTCTAACGTGTTTCGCTTTGTCAGTTCAAGGAGCCCGCTTGCTTCTCGCACGATCCTTCATTTTTTCACCAAGAATTCTTTTTCATCCTTCAGCTTCTCTCATATTCCTTTGCTTTTCTACGTTTATTACGTATGCCCACACATAACACGCGCGCGCGCGCGCACACACACCCACATACACATACACACGCATATCCACATCTACATCCCCACACCTACACTTTGCCATTTCCATTTCTTTTCTCTCGCCCGTCACTGCTCATCTCGCTTATGCGTTTGAGACCTGACAATCAACATTATCCCTTGTTTAAACGAGTCATCTGATCAGGGCGTTTTGTTTTTCTTATTTTTATCTTTATTTATTCCACTCGGCTGCCTATCTTTCATCACACGCTCATTCGTTCGACTTAGTAGAAACTCAGCTCGATGGTCCTATACGTGTTCGCGCGCTTTTTCAAAACCGCCCATGCGTACGCGCCCCTTTCTGGCACGACTATAGAAATCTCTTATTCGCTTGTCCTGGACAAACATCGTTTAGTAACTTCAGTAATAATGTAACATCAAGCTAGCATCGTGAATTTAACATTTAGCTAAGCTGTTGCGATAACTGACGGATAGTGACTCATCCTGTTGTGATATTCATTAGATGACGTTCTCGCGGATACGTGAACAAGAACATTTTTTCTTCTTCACCCTCCAATTACACATTCGTTACTTACATTCACTTTTGTTAATTCCACTCGCCACGCGTGTTACTGAAAACATTCCACTGGATACGCTAAAGTGTAAATTTAGGAACACCACGTGACTAAGTCCTCATTCAGAGATTCTGCTGCAGACGTTTTTATGCGATCGCAAAGTACACAACCCTTACACACCTTCGTACGATGTTGGACTTTGGAGCTGATCCAGCCGGCTCGGTGCAACAAGTACTTTGTTCATCTCGCAATAAATTCTTTCCGATCTCCGTGTATCGCCTCGCGAATGTATTTCCTCGTACGACTCGTGTTACTCGACGGACACGATTATTTGGCCTCTGCCCATAGACAACAGGGGAGACTCGGACGTTGAATAATCACCAAATAATATCATTTATTCTGCTTCTTCCTTTGAGAGGGGCGTGCAGGCGCACGTCCACATGTGTCCACGGGAGATAAGGAATACGAGATCTTATCTAACAATATCGCCAACACTACAGCGATAATTTACCTTAGGATTTCTATTCGTGCAGTCTCTATCGCGTTGATATTCTTGTTAAGTGTTATTATTATTATTTTTGGACTCGCGCACTAACCTTTTCCTTTTTGAAACATTATAAGTAAGGAGTGATCGTGCACCTAGTAGCAAGCTGACGGAGCTATTAATCGCGTGTGTCCTTTTAAAGTGTTAGCCGCGGAGGGGTGGGGGGCGCTTTCTTTAGACAGGGTGTGGATATGTGAATCTTTCAAGGTGGCTCCATTTATTTTATCAAGTGAATTTTATTTATTTTTCCGTCAATGGATTGTTCCGCAATGACGTCGACGCGTGCATTCTTTGAGAGACATCGAACTCGTGTAATAAGAGACGCAAACAGCGTTTGCTCCAAGACTTTATTTCCAATCGTATTCAGTGTTTTCATCCAGCAGTGAACTATGCAATCAGTACACTTGTTATCTGGACGTCTATCCTTTCGAAAGGGTTACGCAATACGCGTGCATCCCCGTACCAGACGGATTTCGGTGGGGGAAAACCTTCGAGCAGCAATGCACGATTATAGCGATTCTTTTGTGCTGCGAGTTGATTCTCCCTGCAAGTGCTGTTGTCCCTCTGCAAATAGGATGTCACGTAGGTATTCTCTTAGGCTGGTGACACGTCTCCAACATCTCGACGTTATACCGTTGTTTCTAAACACAGCACGGAGCCGAATAAAATATGCAGATGATAGTTGAGTAACGTCGTAGCTGCAGACAGGCCGAACCCTGGCGAGTCCGTAATCTCCTTGGTCGAAGTGACCCGACCTGCGCGTATAGGTGGACGATAACCCGGCCAAATATTCTTGAGTTTCTTCTGGAAATCTTCTTCTCCAGAGCACATTAACCTGCCTCTTCTTTCCTTTTTTTTTCTTTAAATTGATCTCACGTAATGATCCAGAGAGAGAGAGAGAGAGAGAGAGAGAGAGAGAGCAGTCCGAGCCTCGTGAACACAGTTTCTTACGCGGAACAAATCTTGATATTGTGCGAACACTCGTGTGCAGATTTTAAGGTTGACAATAGTGCGTTACGTAATTCGGAAGGTCGATAGCACTTTCCCTGAAATCTCAAGCTTTCTCCGAGTCAGAAAAATGCTGCGCTCGTCTCGGTGACGTCATTCATCTCGTGAAGGTCATCCCATCCACAGGTCGGTCAGGGTATCAAGTGCGCTTGGATTCAATCGTTAGGAATGATTTTGTGCGGAACGAGAAGGGACGATCGGAGAACAACATGTTCATAGATTAAATCCCGTAGGAAAGTTCGAGCCTCGCGTTCTCCTGCCACCTACGTGTCGATTACGAAACCGGCCCCGACTCTGCTAAAATTAAGTGCGACGCGCAGCGCGACTTTCGGTGCTCGGTTGGTTGCGCTCGATTCATCTTCTCTCTCTCTCTCTCTCTCTCTCTCTCTCTCTCTCTCTCTCTCTGTCTTGTTCCTTCGCTCTCTCGCCTGGCTCTCCCCACCATTCGGAATCAGTCTAGCCGGGCGAATACGGCAGGAACGGGGCAACTAGACGTTTCGCGCTCGACTCGCCGTTGCAGAAAGTGGCACTCGCGCATGCGCTTTGCGAGCCATCTGACGTCAGTCGCATCACCACACGTCACACACGTCACGTCGCTGGGTTAACTTAACCTCCCCCCTGCTTCCCCCTGACGGCGCTTGGCGCACCTACCGGTAGCTCCTCCACCACGCGACCTCCTAGATTATCCCCACCTAGTCTCGAGTCTCGAGCGTCCGACCGTCC